TGTGACTACAATTTTTATCCATGGTGTTGTTTCTGTGCAAATCACAGAACTCTGGGTTTTTAAATACCAAAGAAATGAAAATCTAGTAGAGGGTGGATATTTACTAACCATGGCATTGAAATGACATTTACTTGCTTGCATGTTTTTAAAGGAATATTTCCCCAGACGTCTGCCACAACAGCACTCCAGGTGGGTGACAAAATTTAGAAACAATTTCAACAAGCACATAATAACAATAAACGCCAACAACGGTGTATAGAAATATTGATTTCTAAATGTCTCCTGCATTCTCCTGTGAAATCTTTCTGATAACAGGCTATGCCTTGTTTCCTGTTACAAGCCCAATGGTGGGCCCCATGGCCTCAGTTGCATGCCATAAACCCACATTTTTCACACTTCCATGCTGGAAGCTAGGCCTCACATGCCAGAAGTCACGTAGCCAATGGGGAAGGCTGGAGGTTGGGTCACCTGACTGCAGAGGGAGTTCCCAAATTCCCAGCCTATCCCCACTTGCACCCATGAAAACCAAGAATAGGCCAGTCCCCTGCCCACTCGCAATTGGCTCCTGGCCAGGGCTAATTTGTGACTGGAATGGGCCTATAACCGGTCATTCCCAATGGGAGAGAGTTCTGTTCTCTCTGCTGCTCTTGTATTCTTGTTCCTGCTTGTGAGCTCTCTGCTCCCTGCTTGTTGTTTTATTGCACCTGGACATGTGGTCTCTGGGAGAACAAAGACCTGCTTTATGAACTGGATGCATGCTTGTACAAGATGGGATTCTTACTAAAAATCCCTTGGTGCTCCTGGATTACCACAATGGACTGTTCTGGATCGATGAATGTTCCTGACATGGTAACTATGAAGCATTAATGTTCAGTTAAGGCAAACAGCCCTAGCCTTTCTTGTTTTGAAATCTCTATGGTCTAATTGCAAAGCTCTGAGCTGAATAAAAACTTATTCTGTTTCTAAATGGTCTCTGATGTGTAACTGAGTTCCAAGGCTAAACTCCTGTGCCTTCTGCTCACCATATAAGCTACCTTTGTAAGCATTAAGCGTGCATCTCTGGATAGAGGTGCTAATGTGTTAAGCCCTAGATGCCAACTGAGAGTCTGGAATCTCTAATCTCAGGCTTGTGAGGGAATAAGTGTAGAGGTTCTGGTGGCAAATTGTTCTGAATCCGGAGAGGGTAGCCTACCTCTCCGGATTGTTGTTTAATGTATTGAAAAAGTATAGGGTTCCCTCTCATTCCTGGACAGGCTTGAGGGGCAGAATCCTATACAAATGGCAAAAGCCAGCTATTGTTAAAACAGCACAAAAAAAATAAAAGCCACATCAAGCCCGAATACTAACAAAACTGCAAAAGTCATAAACAGTCTTAAATATGTTTACAGCAGTCAGTCATAAATCTCACCGCCAAAAATGAATCCCTGAAATTGCTCAACAATAAAACAAATCCCTCAAATTATAGAAATAGTGATGATGATTTATTTATTTCCACCCAAATAAGATCCTCAAAGAGGTGATATGAGGATTAACACACCAAATCCAGCAGTTGGTGTCTCCCAGAAAAGTTTGGTTCAATTTCTTTTTAAGAGCTGATGTGACTAAAAGTAGGTCCTCAAGGCAAGAGACCTTCAGGGGTGGTTTGCCACTGCCTACCTCGGTGTAGCAGTGACCCAGCACTTCCTTGGTGGTCTCCCATCCAAATACTCACCAGGGCCATCCCTGGACTTAGCTTCCGAGATCTGACAAAATCAGGCTATTCTGGGCCATCCAGGTCAGGACAGCAGGAAGAGGGGGGAGCAAAAAGGAGGGGAGAAACAACCTATACTCAACACACCTAACAATGAAGCAGGAAATTGGGTGAGGAACAAATCATCCCATTAAATATTTTCATAAATACCTAAGATACATGCATCAAGAAAAGAGGAAGGTTCAGCATGAGACGGATTGACTCAGTCAAGGAAGCCACGAGGGCCCTCAGTTTGCAAGACCTGAGTAAGGCTCTTAACAATAGGATGTTTTGCAGTTCATTAACCCATTGGGTCTCCATAAGTCAGAAGTGACTTGAATGCATGCAACACACACACAAGATATATGAAAAAAACCCATATAAGATGGAGATAACTAAACATATAGACCGACAAACCAGACGTGTTTCAACCTTTATAGTCTTCTTCAGTTATCTCTAAAATGTGAAAATAGTATTTCCCCATGAAATTTACAAATAAAATACCAACAATCTACAACATAATACCAATTTCATGAAAGATTATAAAACAAACCTTTCAAGGAATTATCTGTAGGATTACCAGCTCTGGGTTGGCAAATTCCTGGATATTTGGGGGCAGAGGCTAGGGAGAATTGAGTTTGGAAAGGAGAGTGAGCTCAGGAGGAATGTGATACCATAGATTGTACCTTCTGAAGATGCCTTTTTCTCCAGAGGAACTGGTCTCCAAAGTGTGGAGATCCATTGTAATTCTGGGAGGACTCCAGGCTGCACCTGGAGGTTGGCAACCGCAGGTCCAGGATTTGGCATAATCTCTGAGCAAATGGCCATTTTGTGGATTTTATGGCCCTGCCAGGCCTGGATTACGGTTTACAAACAGAGAGAGAAAAGATGTTTGGGGGTAGCACTTGGCTGGATGAGCTCTAGGACAAGACCACCTAAAAAGATGTAGTGGAGAAATTTGAAATTGAGCTGGAAATATATTTGCTAACAGCAGCCAAAATAGCCATTTTGGCCTATTGGGAAAAAACCCAAAGTAACATCAGATTCAAGATAGTTCAACTAGATTTGGAATAGCCCTGATGATGAAATCACCACGCCATCTGTTATGATTACAGCATTGGACTAGGATCTGGGAGACCCAGGTTCGAATCTGTGGTCTCCCATAGAAACACACTGGGTGACCTTGGGCCAGTCACACTCTCTCAGCTTAATTTACCTCACGGAGAAGAGAATAATGATGTAAACTGCTTTGGATACCGATTGGAGAGAAAAGCAGGGTATAAATTCAGTAAATAAGTTAATAAATACCTTCAACTATGTAGATAACTTTTGTGAAAGTTGGACAATATTTATTATGTTCTGGTATTAATAAGATACAAGATAAGAACATAAGAACATAAGAAAAGCCAATGTTGGATCAGGCCAATGGCCCATCCAGTCCAAAAATACCAGGTGCCATCAGGAGGTCCACCAGTGGGGCCAGGACACTAGAAGCCCTCCCACTATAGCCGTCCCCCAAAGCACCAAGAATACAAAGTATCACTTGCCCCAGCCTGAGAGTTCCTATCTATACCTTGTGGCTAATAGCCATTGATGAACTTCTGCTCCATATGCTTATCTAGTTCCCTCCTGAAGCTGTCCATGCTTGTAGCCGCCACCACCTCCTGTGGCAGTGAATTCCATGTGTTAATCACTCTTTGGGTGAAGAAGTATTTCCTTTTATCTGTTCTAGCCTGACTGCTCAGCAATTTCATTGAGTGCCCACGAGTTCTTGTATTGTGAGAAAGGGAGAAAAGTACTTCTTTCTCTACCTGCTCTATCTCATGCATAATCTTATGAACCTCGATCATATCTCCCCTCAGCCGTCGTTTCTCCAAGCTAAAGAGCCCCAAGCATTTTAACCTTCCTTCATAGGGAAAGTGTTCCAACCCTTTTATCATTCTAGTTGCCCTTTTCTGCACTTTTTCCAATGCTATAATATCCCTTTTGAGGTGTGGTGACCAGAACTGTACACAGTACTCCAAATGAGGTCGCACCATCGATTTATACAGGGACATTATGATACTGGCTGATTTGTTTTCAGTTCCCTTCCTAATAATCCCCAGCATAGCGTTGGCCTTTTTTATTGCAGTTGCACACTGTCTCACCATTTTCATTGCGTTATCTACTACGACTCCAAGATCTCTCTCTTGGTCAGTCTCTGCCCCATCAATTTGTATTTATAGTTAGGATTTTTTACTCCTATGTGACTCCCAACTCCAAATCATTAATAAACAAGTTAAAAAGCATCGGACCAAGTACTGATCCTTGTGGTACTCCACTGCTTACCGCTCTCCACTGAGAAAATTGCCCATTTATACTCACTCTCTGTTGCCTATTAATTAGCCAGTTTTTGATCCACAAGAGGACTCTTGATCCACAAGAGTCCTTTTATCCCATGACTATTGAGCTTACTTAGGAGCCTTTGATGAGGAACTTTATCAAAAGCTTTCTGGAAGTCAAGGTAAATAACATCTATTGTGTCCCCTTTGGCCACATGTTTGTTCACTCCCTCAAAAACGCTAACAGGTTAGTGAGACAAGATCTTCCCTTACAGAACCCATGCTGAGTCTGCCTCAATAGTTTTTGTTCATCAGTGTGCCTACTAATTCTTTCCTTAATAACAGTTTCCACCAACTTTCCCAGTATCGATGTCAGACTGACTGGCCTGTAATTTCCCGGATCTCCTCTGGAACCCTTTTTAAAGGTGGGAGTGACAGTTACCTTCCAGTCCTCAGGAATGGAGGCAGATTTTAAGGAAGGATTACATATTTTTGTCAGGAAATCCACAAGTTCACATTTGAGTTCTTTCAGAACTCTCGGATGTATGCCATCTGGGCCTGGTAATTTATCAGTTTTTAAGTTGTTTATCAGTTGTAGGACCTTACTGTTATGCATTTTTTAAGCCTGTATACATTTTGAAGCCTGTAGGCATGTTTCTGTTTTTTTTCTCTTTTATATCATCCATTTTATTAACAGATACTGATAAAGAGGGTGCCCTGACCTGGATAGCCCAGGCTAGCTCAATCTCTTCAGATCTCAGAAGCTAAGCAGGGTCAGCCCTGGTTGCTATTTGGGTGGGAGACCACCAAGGAAGGCAGAGGCAGGCAATGGCAACCCACCTTTGAATGTCTGTTGCCTTAAAAACCACATTGGGGGAGGGTCGCCATAAGTTGCCTGTGACTTGAAGACAAAAAATAAAGGATTTTTTTTTTTTGTAAAAGAGGACATTTTAACAAAATCCTGTGGGTTGCTGCTGCTGTTGCTTTTGCTCTTTCCTCTTGTGTTTCTTAACGAGTTTCCTGTACAGATACTGGATCCTCTGGTCTTCCTGGCTCTCAAAAAAGGAGGCTGAAATTTTCCGGCACAGCCGGTGCGAGTACGTTTCCAGAAATATCATGGCATAAATGATGCAATAAAGGAGTCCGACAGCAAAGATCACGGATACATTCGGAGGGTACGGCCATTTCATGGAGCACTCGGCGGTGACAAAGGTCACATTCTGGTGGTAGCTGCTTTCAAAGGGAGATATTAATTGTCCTGTTGGAAAAGCACCATTAAAAATCTTTCCCCAAAATTTCAACCAAGTAAGTTTGACCTGAAAAACAATCAAAGAGAATCATTCAGCAGAAATGTAGAAGCCATCACAGAGCAAAAGAAACCTCCATTAGGGACTATGGAAATATCATCCTTAATTATAAACTAGAATTCAGAGAAAGTTATAGCTGCCATCCTAAGAAGGCTTCCACTCTTATAAATCCATTCCAGTCACCTCTGCTTAGGATGGCACTGCTAGTAAGACACGAGCATGCCTGTTTGGACTAATTCCAAAGAACATCATTTTTTAATCAGCTATAAGGTCTTTCAATAAGTGTTCCATGAAGCCACCCACAAATTCTTTGAAACGACCAACATAAATGAGTAGATGTTGAATTATACAATTTAACCTACATTCAAAAGTAACTGTCCTACTTTCCTGCAGTGTAGGGATGGTACAATGATGTTTTGGTCTCATTTTAGTAATTCCCATTCCTCTGAACTGAATGTAGAAAAGGCATGGTTTGATTTAATTTGTGCTGGTGGCAATTGTCAGTTTGCACACCATGAGTCATACAGGGAAATCCATATCACTCTTTGGATGCTGAGCTGTGCAGTCCATGTTCATGGCAACAAATATATAATACCTGTGGGCCATGGTAACATGAAATCCATGCTGGGGGGGGGACCTTTAAGTCGTATTTGTCTTTGTGTGTAAAGTACTATCAAGTCACAGCTGACTTGATAGAGGTGTTTAGAGGTGGTTTGCTATTACCTGCCTCTGTGTCACGAACCTGGGCTTCCTTGGTGGTCTCCCATCCAAATACTAACCAGGGCCAACCCCACTTAGCTTCTGAGAACTGACAAGAACAAGCAAGCCTGGGCCATCCAGATCAGGGCTTAAACTGTCTAGATTAACCCTTAATTGTGAAAAGGCTGCTTTAGAAATATGGGCAGATGAATAAGCTTTGGCTGAAGCGTTTTATGAATGGATCTCTGCCACACAACTGGCACATGCTCAGAAATCCTGGGAAGCAGTTATGTGAGAACACAGGGTTTAACTGCCAGGTGGAATGCTACAGGTCATTTCCAGACACAATTCTAAGGGCCAGGTTTAATCGACACAGCCCTAAGCAGTCAAGGACTGAGGCCTACATGAACATGGTAGTTTAATCAATACAGGTAGGGTTGCCAAGTGTATTTACCTTGGCGGTGGGGGAGCCTTGCCGGGCTCCGGGAGCGGTCGGTGGAAGTGCATGCGCGCGCCGCCAGGATGTCACCGGAAGTGACGTGCACCTTATCAAGCATATTAAGACTACCACTAACATTTTTTTTCAAATGCCAGGCCTTTTTTTTACCCTTTTTTAAAGGCTATATTAATATGTTGATTGTTTAATTGGCTGTACTGCTGATAGTCCATACAAATTATATTTGTTTAGTGTCCCAGAAGACCTAAACGATAGTGGGAAAGCAGGAGATAAACCACTAAATAAAATAAGGTATTGCAGACGACCACTTCCCACCTGTATTGCTAGTTTCATATGCTAGGTTTTTAAAAGCAGGGTCTTCTCTCTGACAGTACCCCAATTTATGGTTCTTTCTTATCAAGTATATTAAGACTACCACTAACATTTTTTTCAAATGTCAGGCTTTTTTTAAAACCCTTTTTTAAAAGCTATATTAATATGTTGATTGTTTAATTGGCTGTACTGCTGATAGTCCATACCAGTTTAAATTATATTTGTTTAGTGGCCCAGAAGACCTAAACGATGGTGGGAAAGCAGGAGATAAACCACTAAATAAAATAAGGTATTGCAGACGACCACTTCCCACCTGTATTGCTAGTTTCATATGCTAGGTTTTTAAGTGATGGCTACCATGAGGTACGACCATGGTAGGTCTGTAGCTCAGTGGTAGAACATCTGCTCAACATGCAGAAGGTCCCCGGGTTCAGGCCTTGGCATCTCCAGTTAAATGGTCAGGTAGGAGTTGATCTGAAGGACTTCTGCCTGAAACTCTGGAGAGCTGCTGCCAGTCAGAGGTGATAGCATCAACCCTGATAGACCAAAAGCCAGGACTTAGCATAAGGCAACCTCATGTATTCATGCTTTCATCACTGGTCCTCTAACTCCGTGTTCTAAATAATAAGGATAGATTATTTCCATCCTATAGTGTTTTCCTTTATACTGATAATTGTATGAGCCTGGTAATAGAAGCATTCAACTCAGTTCTGTTCAGCGCTGACATCTTGACATGCCTTCATTTCAAGAGAGAAGCAAGTGGCTTTGATACTCACATCGTATTTTATCTGGAATTTAATTGGCACTACAGGGAACCGAGAGACTTCAGTCACCATTGCTTGTGCCAAGTGGAAGGCGATATAATCTGTTGCTATGATCACCAGCGTCAATATCAGCATTAATGTGAGGAGAATCATGTGCCTGAAGCATGTCATGAGTTCCTTTCGGGTCAGCTTGAGACCAGTTGACTTGATCAGTTTTTTAGGTGAGCAAACCAGTAGGTGAGTGGCTTTATTTTTCTGAGCCAAGTCTTCCAGCTTTTTGGTGATGTAAATATTGTCAAATTGGAGGTCTGTAAGATAGCTCTTCAGGTACCAAGCCGACTCAAAGATCAAGTAGAAGAGGAAGAAGCCAGCAATGACCCGGTTGGCCAACAGGGTGACCTTCTGGGCCAGCATTTCAACATGTGAGAAATCTTCCTTGATCCCTTGGTTAGCGTCAATCACTTTCCGACTCAGTAGGAAGCTGTTGTTGTGTGTCTCGAACTGAATATGGCCGTCTCTAGGTTTCACTATTTGATTTGGCATATAATCAACAACCCCTTTGAGATAGCGGCTGAAATCCCAAGAAGCATTACCCAGCTGATTTGTTGAGATGAGGAGGCTCTCTGAGGAATTCTTGCAGATGCATTTAATGACTTGCAATATGGCTTGGATGTTGCTCATGATGTTGGGGGCAATGTTGACTGCCACAATCATGAAGCATGCAGACAGGAGAAGCCTCCGCCCTTGCTTGGTCCCTAATGTAGGTACCATCATGGTGAACATACAGCGGAGAGGGTGCACCAAAAAAAGAGTCAACAAGGCAAGAACACTTACAGCGGCAGCCGTTGCAGTGGAGAATTGGAAGGAATACTGCAGTGAAGAAAACATCCAGCGATAGAAGAGGCCTCCTATTGACATGGCAATACAACAGCACATCAGAAATAAGGACAGCAGCTGGTTGTGATTTGAGGGGAACGGTGTTGAGTAAGCATGCCAGACTTCCAGGGTGAAAGCTTGTATCCGTGGGAATAAAATATCCTGAGAGTAGGCCCAGACCTCCAACCTGTATCAGTAATGCACATTATTTATGCCTAGTTACTATAACAAATATTTGCAAATATTCCAAATTTACTAGCATTTCCAATTA